CCCCAAAGAAAAGACTTCCTTAATATCAACATAGATCAACTAAGAAGCACTTAGCATGCAGAAAGAGTTAGAGACCGTGTATACCTACAATTGCACATCTGAAGAATTAAAGTCTGTTTTCAAACAAACTGCAGCCTTTAATAAATGAAACAAAACTTGCAAGCTGAGATCATTACACAACCAAGCAAGTAAACAAATAGGAGAATAAGAGCTATACTAAATGCATACCGATTCCACTGCATAAACAGGAACCATCAATACGAGTCCTATCAAAAACTTCTGCTCCTGAAATAAGATATTAAGAACCAGAAGTAATTAGAGAGGACAATATCAATAGATACAATTTACAAATAGAAGCCAGAAACAAAAGATTACTCAAGTGGAGAGTTGCAAGGAGAGAAAATATAGCTCTTGCAACACTACATAAAGTAAAATAAAATATTTTAAAACAAATTAGAAAAGAAGGATCAACTGAAGATACCTCTGGCTGATTATAAGAAGCTAAATGCTCAAATAAAAGGTACATGGAGAGCACAAGAGCAGTGAAGACAAATATGCCTGCACTGAAGACTGGCCAACTGAAAGATAAAGTTGTTTCTGCACTCAGTTTTGACAACCATATTCCCTCTGGTTTGCTTGATGACTCAACTACGGTGAGAAGGAAAAATGACAAACAAAAAGCACTTCTCCAACCCATTGAGCAGAAGTGAATAAGGAATTCTACTCAAGAGTTTACAAGATAGGAATGCACAAGACCTTATGTCATTGGCGATCAACGGTAGACTGCATTTATCAGTCTTTCTTCTTCTGATCCTCAATTAACATTCACTCTCTAGAGAAGTTGCAAGAAGATCACTTATCTTCTTGAATTGAAATATGACAAAGAAATCAACCTTTCTATCGCTTCAATAGAGAATGCCTTTGAGAATGAGAACACACACTGAATAGCCACATATAAAATCTTTGTGTAGAAACCCACAGCTGGTTTCTCAGAGAGATAGAACAAAGCTTTGATTACCAGGAACAAGATAGCCTGTAGTACAAAATAGAAATTGATGATTGACACAAAACACTAGAAAAACTACTTAGTACTTACACTTGAAAAACAATAAATGAATAATAAACAATTCCAGAAGTGAATGCCAAATTAGGCAAAATTAAAGCTAGGGTAGAATGCAATTGCTAAAAACTCCCTCGCCTTTAGATGGTGACAGAACACTGAACCAGAACAAAATCAATTATAGGTCAGGTACATTGCTCATCTTATCTATTCAATATAAGCAACAAACAACAAGAAGGCAATTTGTTGCCCCGAGTTTTATCTCAATATCCAAATGAATAAACAAATATGTCATCATAAGATTAAGCTGATTAACCCAAATGTGAAACGATACGATAAAATTATACCAGCCAAAAAGGAGAAACAACAATTTAAGAAGTTTGAAATCCCATATGGTGGGCAACAAGACTGATAAGTATTTACTTGTGCATTGCCTTTCCAGCAAGTTGCATTTGACTACGTAAGGCATACAAACCCAATTTTATTTTTAAGGACTAAATATTTTCCTCCTAAAACTACCTAGAGGAATCTCATTCTGATTAAATACAATACAATAATAGCTTATAACTATATTTTTCTCTCTATGAATCAATTTTCCCAGGAACCAAACAGAAACAATTCTCTACAAACGCCCAAACACTCTAAATTTCATTACAAAAGGTAATTAATGACCTAATAACCTCAAAATCACGTCTTAGCAGATATTTTTTAAAATATAATAAAATCAGCAGTCATGAAGAAAACCCTAGAAGACCGATCACGATGAAACAAACAACCCTAGTGTTCCAAAAACAGCTCAAAAAAATGGTTCAAATTGCAAGAAATTCGAAACAAGAAAGAGGAGAAAGCTGTTTTAGATTCTTACCTATTATCGAAGTATTCCCCCAAAATGAGACTGACAGTCGAATACCGAAGAAAGAAAGAAAATATTTTCTCCTCGTTTTTCTCTCTAAGCTTTCTGTTTGGATGATGGGAAAGTGGAAAGAAAAAAAAAAATTGATTTCTTCGTTGAGCGGTTGGCGAGGGACGAAGAGACCAGTAGAAAAAATGGAAATCTGCATTTTTTTTTTTTCCGAAACAAAGAATATTTTAGCGTCACGGCGACGGAGATGTCGTTCGAGATCTCAGCCGGTGATTTTTCTCCACGTGGCTATGTTCGGGGTTTTAAAGGCTGAGATGGAGGTTGAATGTTAGTGTTGTGAGATAGCGTATGTGATCGACATTGGTAACTTTTTCCCCACGCAAGCATCTGACGTGGCAGTGATGATGTGTCCGATAAAATCCACGTCGACTGAAGAATAGTAGTTGAGGTGCAGTTGACTTGGACTACTTGTTGAGATGGAGATTTCAGGGCTGTCATTTGTCATCCCTCATCACAAATCCACATGGCCACGTCTTCAGAACCAATTAGTATGGTGTGGGTTGTTTTTTTCTTTTTACCGCTAATAATATATATAAATAAAATAAAAAAATAATTTAAAAATAATTTTTTTATAATTTTATGTATAATTTAAGTAATTAATTTTTTTATTTATTTGAGATTTATAATATTAAATATATTTACTTATTTAATGACATGTA